CCAGAAGGCCCTGCAGGATGCGGGGTCCTTGCCTGTCCCCCCGCCTGATCGAGGCAGGGATCCAAAGCAAGCAGAGTCCTCCCCATCTGGACCCCCCCTCCTGTCCAAGCAAAATCTTCCTCCTTTTCCTTCACCTCCACTCTTCAGGGCTCTGGCAGGCCTTCACCTCTCCAAGACCCAGGAGAGTGCTGTGCTCACCACTCCTTTCTCTTTCTGCAGGTCCCCCGCTCTCTTCAGGGGACTTGGTTCTAGCCTCATGGCTGCCTTCCTACCTGCTCAAAACTTACATGGTGGGAGGCCCAACTAAAGTATGAAATCTTCCGGAAATTGTGTCTCCGCCTGCTTCTCTCTCTTACGGCCTGTGGCTAAGCGCAGCCTCAGCATCCTTCCACCACTGCCAAGCTGGGCATTGCTCACCTGCCCCTAGGGGGCCACGATGCCCGGTCAGTCTCTGGAGGGCAAGGCATCAGCCGGCAGAGTCTGCCCCACTTCCCCCCCCCCCCCCGTCCCCCGGGAGCTTTCAGAACTCTCCCCACCTCCCAGCTTGCCTGTCAGTGCCACTTGTAGGCTCAGCCATGGGAACTGCAGGCCACCCTTAGAAAAGAAAGGTGGGAAAGCTTTCAAGGAAAAGGATCAGCCCAGCCACATCAGAGCAAAACCTCCCTTTTGTGGTCCCAGCCCAACCGGATGCCACAATAGGAAAATCCAAGAGGGGGAGGGGAGGGGAGGGGAAGGGAGGGCTTAGCTTCTCCAGCAACTGTGGGCAGCTGCACTAAGAGGAAAAGGGCCAATTCTTCATCTGGTCCAGCCCAGCTAGGCATGACTGCCTTCCTACCTACTTCTCTGAAATAATTCAACGTACAGTTGACTGGGGCAGGGAGCAGAATTCTCTTCCTTCCCTGCCTGGTTGTGGGGCTCCCATGACCCGTAGCTCTGTGCTGTTTTCCTGCCTTTGCCTTGGGGGGAGGAGCCCCCTCATTGGTTTTAAGCCCCACCAGGGCAGATCCCTCTGCCACCTGAGCTCCACGGGTAGGAAACTGAAGGGAAGCCCAGGGCTCACACACACCCCGTCGCAAGCGTTTTCTCCTGGGCCTTCGGGACGGAAGCGCTGGGTCCCCACGGCCCCAAAACCGCCGCCGCCGCCGAAGGAGGCTCTGGCTGTGCAGGTGCTGGGAAAGCCCCACCCCAAGACTGAGAAATGAGGTTCAGCATCGGGCCGGGAGGAGGCCGCAGCTGGGGCGCCGCTGCACTCTCCAGCCTAGCTGGAACGGCTCCCAATCGGCCCACGGAACCAGCCAGCAGGAGGGCGGCGACGGCTGTGCGCTCGCGGCTTCTGTCCGCCTGCAAGGTCGAGCCGGGCCCCCAAGTTCCGCCTCCGGGTGCCGCCCGTCCTCCGCCCGGCTCGGAGGGAGAAACGGGCCGGATATTCCCCGGTAGACGCGTCCTGGCCGCCACCGCGCCGGCACACGGGTTCCCCGACACGGCCAGGCTTCCTCCCACCGCCGGAGCGCACGCCGGCAGCCGCCGCCGGGTCCTTGGAGACCGTTGGGAGCGGAAGACCCGCCGCTCACCGCAAAAGGGACAAGGCGGCCGCGGGGCCCGGCGCTTCCCTCCCGCCTCGCCCAAACTCACCGCGTGGCTGGGGCTGGCCGCCGCTCCAGCCGGGGCCGTCCAGGGAGTGCTGGCCGGGCGGCCATTCAGCGAGGAGGGCCGGCCTCGGCGCAGCCGGCCTGCAGACCGAAGGGCGGCCCGGCGCGGAAGGCGGGTCGGGCCGGGCCGGGCGTGACTCAGGCCTCAGGAATGCGCCGGAGAAGCGGCTCCCTCCGCCCGCCTCGCCTCCGCCCGGCGCCACCACGGGAAGAAAAGCGCCGCGCTGGAGTTTGGCCGGCCGGGCGGCGGGCAGGGCCGCGGCTGCCGGCGGGCGAGTTTCTCCCCCACCTTCCCTGACTAGAAAGCTGCCTGCTACCCTTCTGGCCTGGGCCTAAGCCGGGCCGCCCCCTCGGCGGCTCGGCTTAGGAGGCCGGGGCCCTTCTCGCCTGGCCGGCTAGACAGCTGCTGGCGGGGTGGGGGTGGGGCTGCTGATCCTTTAGGCCGAAGTCCTCCGGCCCTCTTCCCTCTCAGGCGGCGGCCCCGTCCTGCCCTGGAAGAGCTCTTGCCGCTGCGGGGATCCTGGGCGGCTTTGCTGGGGGCTGCTGACAGAAAGTCCTGAATCCCTCTTTGTAACCAACGCTGGGTGGCCCTCCCCATTGTAGGCAAGCTGTCCCAGTGGTGTATTAACTATGAAGCAGACTAAGCCCGTGCTTAGGGCACCAGGCCCAAAGGGGGCACCACAAAGTTGAAAATATGGCTTCATTTCTAGGGAGCGGACAACCAAGATTTGTCAGTGTTTAGGGCACCAGTGAGCCTTAATCCGTCCATCACTGGTTGTCCCTTAAGGGTGTTTGGATCTGTGTGTGTTTGTGTGTGTCTGTCCCTCCCCTCCCCTCCCCAAGGGGTTCAATATCAGCCTTTCTACCCCTGCTCCTTCCTCCCCAAATGCTGAGCGCTTGACTTTGGAGGCACCTCGTGGCCTTGGAGAGGAAGAAGGCTGCCAGCCCTCAGGCCCAGGGGTAGCTGAGCACCCAAGGAACCCATAGCACCCCCTTCTGCACCCCCCTCATATTGAGAAATGGCCAACTTAGGACACTCCTAAGAATAAGAGTTTCCTGCAGTTTGGCATCCTGTGAAGTCTAGAACTGAAAAACCAAATGAAGTCCTGCTTTCTTCTTGCTGGATTAGCTACACCACCCAAGATGCCTCACCTTTCGCTGGCTTCCTAGCAGCATCCTTGGTCACTGCCCCTTGGAAGGCAGGCAGGGCTGAGCCTTCAACCTCCAAGGAGCTATAAACTCAGGTGCAGCCTCTCCCCCGGCACCACAGCACAAGGCCACGGCTCTTCTTGAGTGTGGTGAAATGCAATCAGGATTCCTGTAGTTCCTGCAGGAGATTTCCTGCTAGTGAAAAGAACTGTCCAGGTTCCCTTCTTCAAGACAAGTAATCTGAGCCACACTGTTCTGCATCAGCGGCCTTTGAGCACCACTTCTGCCTTGGATATACAATGTGTGCTTTGCACCAGCTACAGGTGGCAATTGCAATTAGGCCACATGTGATATGTTTTCATTTTAAAGGTTTCTGACAATCCATCCTGTTATTTGCATGCTTAAGGTTTGCCTCTACTTCTTACTATTGGTTGATATTTGATCAATTCATTTTGTAACTCCAGCCTGGCCGTAAATTGTAAATGCCTGAATATCTCCCAATAGTTCCAGAATGCTTCTAGAGACAGAAGCAGCAATGGGTAACTATCCACAGTAAAACCACATCGGCCCCCTTCCTTCCCCCACTCCCCCTTTGAGAATAGCAGGGCTGAAGGGACCAGTGCCTGCTGGGAATTCCTTGGCAGCCAGCAAGGCTAGCCATGAGATGGCATCTTGTACTATTTCCTGCAGCAGGAGACATGGAACCTGGCGGGTTCCCTGGCAGAAGACATAGGGTCATTTTTAGACAATATCAATAACATCAGGCAGTTTCTTGCACCAATGGCAGAGGTTGAGCCTTGTGGAGCAGGTCTGTCCCACGCTGCTTCAGGGATGGGCCCATCTGTGCAGCAAGCCCAGCCCGTCAGGCTTTTGGGCTACTACTTCCTCTGCAGCTGCTGCTGGCTAAAAGCGAACATCCTTAATACTGAGTGGGCGCAGTGCTTGGGTCTGCAAAGGGAAACATTCCTGCAACTGTCATGTTAAATGCTGCGATTCAATTCATCCGATGTACAAATCGTAGCCACTGTGCCGCCTTCTGGATTAAGAAAACAGAAGGCATCAAGCTGAGGCTCGTTGTCCAAGGATGATAAGAAAGTCCGGGGACAGAGCGCAGTTTTTGGACCATGGAGTAGCTTAACCTGGGTAGGAAGAGTTCCCCACCCCCAGATGTTCAAATATGGCTAGGATCTAACGGGAGTTATATTTAGCCCCCTTCCATGTCTTCCAACTTAACTGTCAGCCTCAGCAACAGCTGCTACTTTTCACCGCTTTGAAAGCAGGCAGGCAGGCAGGCTCTCAGATGCTGCTGCCTTTCCAAGTTTACTTCAGCTATTTCCGAGACATTGGGTGGCTGGGTTCCCTTCTTCCTTTACAGCAGCCTGGAAGAAAAAAAACAGGTTTTGTACCCTCCCGCCATCCAATTTGCACAGATGACCACTGTAAATGAACAGGCTGGGTGTGTGGTGGGGGGGGGAGTGAGGGAAGCAAGAGGCCCCAGAAGAGCTGCTTGGTGCAGCCCAAGCATGCCTGCTCCTAGCAAAGCTGTCCTAAGGTCAAACCCAGAGCAGCTGCTGCACTGCTGCACTGCCATAGAAAGTGAGGGGACGCTTGACTAAGTGGGGTGGGCTTGTCCTGGCAGCTGCTGGGGCGATTTTGCCTTGGGTGGGCAGTTATTTGAAGTTGGCAGATAAAGCTGTGGTTCCAGGTGGGAAGTAGGAAGATTCCACTCAGGACAACATCGCACTGCCCAGAGAGCATCCTCATCCAGCTGCTGGAAGCAACTGTTTGCCAAAGAAGGAGAAAGGGGCCATCTGTCCAAAGAAGGAGAAAGGGGCCATAACATCTGTCCAGCCTGAACCAGCACCTTCCTCACTGCTGTGTCCATTTTCTGAGCTGACCCAGCCTGCTTATCTAGGGTACAGTAGCTGCAACTGGATTCTCCGGACAGATGAGGCTGAGGTGGGTTGTGGGAGTGTGGGTATTTGGACCCCATGTTGGTTCAGAAGACCGGGTGACTCCGGCTTTTTAGCTAACTGCTAGGATGGCTGCTTTTGATGGAAGTGGGGCAAGAGCCCCTCCAGCTCTTAGCCTTTTACGGAAGGCTCTTGTCGAGTAAAGGGCCTTCGTGACCAGGAGGCCAAGAAACTCCACGGACGTTGATCCTTCCTTGTATAGGTTTAGGCAGAGATCGGGCGGCCCCGCCCTCCTCGGGCTTCCCTCCGCTCTTTCGAAAAAGTCTCCGGACGCATCCAAGGAAGTGGCGGGACGGGGTGCCTCTGGATGCCGCACTCCGGGGAAATCCTTCCGCCGTTCCCCGGCTGCCTCACTCTATGCTCAGCCAGCCGCGGGTCCAGCCCCGGTTTGCGCGAGGATCTTCCTGGGAAGAGCGCAGGGCCCTCGCCCGGGGACCGCAAGAGGCCGGAGCCGGGACTGTTGCCGGGCGAAGGCCGAGCCGAGAGTGGCTTGCTCGGCTACGGGAGGGCGGAGGAGCTCCCGGGGGTTTTGTGGCGCTCCGCCTCGCCGCTGAGCTAGGCTTCCCCTTTTTGCAGGCCGGGCGCCTCCCAGCCAGCCGCCATGCCCGACGCGCCGAGGCAGCTTCCTGGCGAGGCGGCGCGGAAACCCGGCAGCGGCTCGCCTGACCGCCTGGGCGCCGCCTACTTCGACCAGCCCTGCATCCGTCTGGCCAAGGCCCTGCTCGGACAGGTGAGCTCGTCGGGCGGGGGTAGAGGAACGAAGGGCAGTTGCAAGGCCGGCCTTAGACGGCCCGGCCTCCCTGGTCAGCTCCTCTGCAGGAAGCGGGACGTCCCAGTCGCTCTCCCGTGTCATGCGGGCCCTCGCAGCCCCGGCAGTCGGGGCGGCGCACGGGGGCCCGAGAGCCCGTTGACTCCCGGCAGTCTCGCCTTGTTTCAGATTCTGGTTCGGAAACTGGCCGACGGGCGGGAGCTGCGGGGACGGATCGTTGAAACAGAAGCCTATTTGGGAGGGGAGGACACCGCTTCGCACTCCAGGGGGGGTCGACGAACCGCAAGGAACACAGCCATGTTCATGCGACCAGGCACGCTGTACGTGTACCAGATCTACGGGATCTACTTCTGCATGAATGTCTCCAGCCAAGGTAAGTAGGCCTCCAGGCCCGCCCCCCTTCCCACTTTTGGATCAGGGTGAATCCCAGGGATGCCCAGCTTCCCTGGAGGCTTCTCATTGGGGGGGGGGGATTTCTGCCCTTTGAGCCACCCCCCACCCTCCAGTCTGCGGTGCCTTTGAACCACTCAGAGCAGTTCTGCCCACCTCCTGCACAGGTGAAGGTGCTGCAGTCCTCCTGCGCTCCCTGGAGCCCCTGCAGGGGCTGGAGGCCATGCGAGAGCTGCGCCTGGCCCGGCAGCAGAAAGCTCCTGCACGCCCTCTCAAGGACTGGATGCTGTGCAATGGGCCCTCCAAACTCTGCCAGGCCCTGGCCATTGATCGGAGGTTTGACCAGCAGGACCTGGGCTGCAACTCTTCCGTATGGCTGGAGCCTGGCCTGGAAGCCTCCAGAGACCAAGTCCCCATCTGCGCCCCCCGCGTTGGCATCAGTGGGGAGTGGGCCCAGAAGCCTTTGCGCTTCTACCTCCATGGCAACAAGTGTGTGAGCGTCACTGACAAAAATGCTGAGGGGAAGCTGGCACCTGGCGCCCTCAGAGAGAAATGTGTTTAGCTTGCAACCTGAAGCGGGCATGAATACTGATGCCAATAGATTTATTTATGTAAATAAACATGTTTTGTTCTCTTCCAATGACTGGGGTCAATGGAGCCAAATGCACAATGTATCACATTCAGCAAGAAAGTGCACGGCCCCAGGCCCACTTTGCTAGAATAACCCCTTCCTCTTGATTCTGAAGTGTCCCCGCCTCGCCCCGGGACAATCCCAGGGCAATTGATTTGAGCTGGCAGTGCCAGAACAGTAGGACTTGAGCAGGCAGGCATGCCGATCGATGCTTGGGAGTTGTTGTCGGAGGCAGGATGGCTGGGCTATGAACCCACTGCTTCATGTGAGCATTCAGCCTGCGGCAGAAGGGAAGTCATGGGGCACTCTTTCACCAAAGGGGCTTATCCCTGGATCCCCATACTCTTCCTGCTTTTCAAAGTCAAAGTCACCAGCTTGCTTCCCTGCTCCACAGTTTGGGGTGGGAAGCCCTCACGGCTGCTCTGCCGAGTCCTCCTTCCCTCCAAAGAAGGGGACAGAGCACAAAACTGCTGGACTGCAACCCCTGGAAGAGCGCTCCTGTGATGTCCAGCAGGAGGGGCTTCCTCGGATCCGGGAGCAGCATCTAGCCTCGACTGGGCTCCTTCCTGGCCTCAAGAAAGCCTCCTCTCCTCACTTATGGAGGGACTGAAAGACAGAGATGACGGGATCCTCGTGGTTCGTCACCACCAGCACACTACGGAACTTGTCAAAGAGCATGAGCAGATGGGAGCGCCGCATGTTTTCATTGTACATGATCTCCTCCAGGTGATGCCGTCCACGGAAATAGTGCAGCAGCCTGGGGGGGGGGGGGGGAGGAAGAGGTATGTTTCTGCCCTGCAGCCACAGCAAATGGCTGCCCACTCCTCACAGCCCAAAGCCTGAGATGCTTGCTCCCCAAGTCCCCACCCAGGCTTCCTCCCTTGTGAAGACTGTACAGTCTAGGCCGGTGGCCCAAAAGAGCAGGACCTTCGCTCCACAGCTACCTGGCAAACATGCGCAGATCGTCTGGATTGTGAGCTGCGGGGACACTGAGAATGGCTTCCCGCTCGTGCTCTGAGAGGCTGGTCAGGAGGTTCTCCGTCATGCGTTTGTTCACGGGAGACTCGCCCCCAGGCAACAGCTCCGCACTGGAGTTGTCCATGCTGGGGCTTGTCAGGGTCATGTCATCACTGCTAGCTGTGAACAAACAAGGAGGAAGGCCCTGTGAGGGACGAGAGGAGGCGGGGCCCCATGATGACAGCCGCCACCTTTTCCTTTCCTGCTGTTCCTAGACAGACGCAACAGTGGGGCTGAAGGGCAAGACGGCTTTCAAAAAATTGTTGACAAAGTCTTCCTCCACGAGCAATGGCCCTTAGACTTATATACCCCTTTGTAGTGCTTTACAGCCCCCTCTAAGTGGTTTACAGAGTCACCCTATTGACCCCAACAATCTGGGACCTCATTTTACCAGGAAGGGTCAAACTCCTGGCAATCAGCAGAGTCAGCCTGCGATGCTGCATTCTAACCACTATGCCACCATGGCTCTTCAGAGCCTGAAAAAAATATTCCAATCCTCCCCCCTCCCTCCCTCCCCCCCACACAATTCTATCATGCTGCCCTTTAGAAATAAGCAGAACAGTATCATGATATGAACGGACTTGAATATTGGACACTAGACATCCATTAGGCATGAAACAGGTCTGGGTGATTTTGGGCCACTCTCTCAGTGCAACCTCCACAGGGTTGTTGTGGGGAAAGTTCAGTGCCGTGGTCTCTCCTCTCTCTTTCATCCATCCGTTTATCTTACCCATCTTCCCCTTCCTCTCTGTAGAGGACCTGAAACCCGGGAGTCAAGCACGGTTCCCCTGGCTGGGCTGAGCTCTGGGCAAAAGAGGGCTGCCACTTACTGGGAGAACCAAAACTGAGCGCACTGGGAGTGCTGAGGCTTCGGCCCCCAACTCGGGCAGGAAAGGGCAGCTCTTCTACTCTGGTGCGAAAACCCTCTTCCTCCTCCTCCTCCTCCTCCTCCTCCTCTTCCTCCTCCTCCTCCTCCTCCTCCTCCTCTTCCTTTGGGGGAACCATCAGGCAGGCGTAGCTGTGCAGCTGAATGAGAAGCCGATGCTGGAGCATCCAGGCCACCATCCGAATGAGATGTGTCTGGGAGAGAAGGAGAGGCCGTCAGAGCGGCCTAAGATCTTGGCCGTTAAAGCACCTCGACCACCCTGTGGGTTGAGGCGTTGGGCAGGGGAGGTTGAGGAGCTAGAACTTGCCTCCTGAATCACTGGAGCAAGAGGGTCCTTGAGCTCAGACAGAGAAACTGGCCAGGAGAACTTGGACAGAACTGCGGGCAGGTCGTGGCCTGGAAACTGGGAGGAGAACTCTTCTGCCAGAGGGGAGTAACTGCAGAAGAGAAGGGAAAGGGTTTGAGTGGGCTGCCCTCCTCCCTTGCTCCTGCCTGGCCTCTGGGTGCCGCGAGTCAACCTCATCAGCACCTGTGAAGCCTAGGAGACAGGAGCCGACACACAAAGCCATCCCTTCAGCAGAAAGAACCAGCTGAGCAACTCACAGGCAGACACTGGCGTTGGGGGACAGCATGTAGACGTTGTTCTCACACAGGGGATAGACCATGAGGGCCTTGCCCCAGTAGACAAGATGTGCAGCCAGCTGAAACACCTGCCACAAAAGAGAAAGCACCTGTTGGGGCAATTCAGCAGCACCTACAGGTAGGACAGGCTGGGCTGGATCAATGTGGCAATGAGCTCCCGCTCCAAGGAGAAAGGAGAAGAGTTACTCTCTCTTCTGCTTAGGCAGATCACATTAAGAAAACACAGCCTGGCAGCGAGAGGAGAAAGCTCCCGTTCCCCTGCTGTGGGTTGAGACCAGGGGTGCAGCTTTCATTTCTTAAGAGGGCCCCCAAATCCCAGCTGCCAGGAAGCAGGAGGAGAGATTCATTGCCGTCAAGCTCAGCCTATGGGCACAATAAGCAAGGGAGGTGATCCACACAGATCCCACAGGGCCTGATCCAGGGGCTGGCTGCTTTGGTCCTCTTAGAAGTAGGCAGAAGGATGTGCTTCACCTAATACACAGGTGGGCTTTAATGCCTCAGTTGTTATAGTGGAAAAGATCTTCCCGCCCTCACAACATTTTCCTTTCCCTGGGAATTCTCACTGCCTGTTTGGGGGTCAACTCGGACCCTATGCTTTGGAAGAGGAGGTCCACCTGCGGTTTATGATGTAGCAGATGTATCAAAAGGCTTTGGGGTCCGCTCTGAGCTCACCTGGAGCAAGGCCAGGTCGGCATCCTGAGCCAGCTGCTGAAGGTTCTTCACCGCAGAGGCGGTTTTGATCACTCGCACCAGGGCAGGGGAGCAATCGAGGGGCAGTTCGCTGAGGAGGGACTTCTCATCTTTAAGCAGCAATAAGGCATGGTAAGGCCTGCAGAGACGGCAAAACAGGTGCGGGATGGGGGTGCGGGGTTAAGATAACCTACAATGGCTGGGGAAAAGCTCCTCGATTAATTTGTACAATTTCTCTATTTCACAAGAGAGGTGCAAGAACCTCTGTGTAGCAGAAGTGGTGACCGATTCATCAAAAAACAGAGCAGCTGAATGTGTAATGTGAAAAAAGTGATTTTCATAGGATTTATGAAAAAATCAACACCTTCGGGGGTAAGATGGGTGGCCTATAAATTTTATAAATAAATAGATATACAAATGAATAAATAACAAACTCAATTTTCCAGGTGAACTAGAATGAGACTCTCCCTTAAACCACACAAGTTGAACATCATACAATCAAATCTTGTTTGGCAGAAATCCTGGGTCTGAATTTGGTGAATGAGTAGCTGAGAAGCTAAATGTTGGTAGACGAAGTAACAAGACTTGTGGTTCAGACTGAGCATGTTAGATTCATGAAGTGAAAACATTTGGAGCACCGCCATAAGTCACAGAATGAGGATGATGCCTGCACAATTAAGTAGCTGGTGATCGAAGAACAAAATGCTTTCTAAAGATTTATCTTGGGGCTTGCAAACCATGGGATCATGGAACAAAATGGGTCGAGGAGGCCATGAATTCTCAGGTCCTGCTTCCAACTATTCATCTTTTAAAACTCTGGACATTCTCACCCACAGTCGCCAAAAAATTTCAGAGACACATTTTCAGCTCTCAAGCAGGCTTAGCCACATCTACATCCCAAGAGGCCTGACTGAGGTGAGAAAAGATTCTAAACCAAGTTGCATTCAGAAAGACCAAAATAAAATAATAAATGTATTAGCAATAAAGTCCTGTCTCACCGAATAGCCTTCAAGCTTCTTTCAATGGCTTCTGGGGGGATGAAACTGGATGCCACATCATGGATTTTATGAGGCAGGCAGAAACTCACTTCCAGCCAGTTATTGATCTGTAGTTGGACCAACCCTGTTGTGCACAGACTGAAAGGAAAGAAAGAAGCACCAGGAGGTTCAGGGATCAGCCTTTTTGCACAGAAGCCTCCAAATGTTCTCAAAGGTCCCCTCCACCCACCCTTCCCCTTATTTGACTCAATTAAAATATAGTATTCCCTTTTACATAGACGCAAGTATCGCCACTTGTTGGCCACCAAAAAGCTGTGCAAGTCAAGTCATGCTAGCCCTGCTCAGCCCAGAGGAAGGCTGCTGCCCACCAGGTGGAGCTGAGCCGCTGTCTCAGAGGGGCATCTGGCTGACTTCCCCAGGAAAGCTTTGCCTTTGCCTCCTGTGCTCTGCTGCTGGGCATCAGAAGAGAAGGAAAGCGACAAGCAGGAAGAACTAAGGCTCACAAGGCCCACATCATGGGGAGGTGAGGGCATGAGATGGAGGGGCCTCCAGAGAGCTTACAAAGGCTCCAAGGGAAGAGAGAGCCTGGCCAGCTTTATGCAGGCTTCCCCCTCCTCAAGGAGAGCAGTGCATGGACAAGCAGAGAAGCGAGAAGGGACTTTCAGGTTCTAGACCGGATGGTGATGGCTTTGATGGTGATGAAGGAAAGCAGCCAGATAATGCTTGATATTATGAGGAGAGGAGTTACTCTCTATCTACTTTAATCTCCCAATCCTAAACTGAGGGGTAGTGTTTCACATAAGCCTCGGGGAATAAAAGATAAGGGGGAGCCAGCTAAACACCCAATACCCTGAAGGTTTCATTCCAATTACCTTGTGTGTGTGTTTTTTGTTTTTGTTTTTGTGGTTTTTTTTGGGGGGGGGCAGCTACAGAATCGGATTCTGCACCTCCATAATTGTCTTGCAATGAGTTTCCCCCCTGGGCTCCCCAATTTTGGGATGAGGCTGTCCTCTCCTACTGACGGGCACCATGACAAGGCCTGTGGCTCTGTAAGGAAGCAGCCGGTAAGAACTGCTGATGGGGGAGTGGGGGTGGCAAGGATATTATTACCTGTCGTAAGCTTCTTTAAGGTCTCTGGCCAGCTTGCACTTGGGAAGGATGTGAGGGAAAGGTGACTGAGGGCCATCCCTTGCTGTGGAGGGAAAAAAATCATTTTGGAGCCCCGGCCTCAGGCCCCTGCCCTCTTCCCAACCATTCATTCTTGGGACATACCTGACGCTGGGTTTTATTATTCATCTAATTAATTAATCAAATGTGTATATCTGTCCATCTCACAAAGACTGAAACTTGCTTCTTTGTGTCATCCAACTGCTGGCTGCACAGCAAACAGCAGCCGGTCCAGCCTGGGCCTTTGAGGGGGTCAAGTCAGGGGGGATAAAACAGCCTTCCTTGGACACTGGCTCTCAACTCAGGGGTCCAGGCTGGCAACAGTCCCCTGCAGGAGCCATGTCCTGGAAAGCGGCCTCCCAAGTGGATGAGACCATAAACCGCTTGCAGCTTACTTTCTGACATGGCTGAAACTTCATCTTGAATGGCCAGAATGAGTTTGGCCTCCCTGGTGAGATACTGGCAGCGTCTCTCTTCATGCTGAAGCACAATGGCGATGCGCCGGGAGAGGTTATGCAGGCAGCTGATCACGGAGGGGTCCGCAGTGGCCTGCAGGCAGAAGTAGAAACTGTCCATCAAGGGTGGCCTGGCAAAGCCAGATAACCTGGAAGGAGGAGGAGGAACCCACCTGGGGCCAACCCAGCCGTTCTCTCCCCTCTGGCCATCCAGCAGAAGGCTGTCTCCCATTGAAAGCATCGGGGTAATAAGAGCTGCTACCACAAAATATGTGAACCAGTGGTAGCATCCCTTCAGCTACTCTTATTTGGACAAAACCTCTCAGTCACTCACACACATACACACCAGCATCTCCTTCTGACCTTCCCCTGACCCCAAACCGCTACTTCCCACTGAGGACACGTTGTCCCCTAATGTGAGGACAGAGGGGCAGGCTCACTGCCCTGGAACAGACCTTCCTCCAACCCTCAGTCTGAGCCTTGCGGAGCCTTTGGCTAGAATAGATTACATGAGAACCTCATGAAGCACCAACCCTGGAATTTCTCCGTCACATCACGCACAAGTGACCATCTTGCATAGCCCAGAGAGGCTGCTTAATCCACTCTGAACCAGGGAGAAGGCAGGAATCCAGCTGTTATCAGCCACACCCAGCTGAACAAGTGAGGCTCAGACACTTAGTAGCCAAAGTGGACAAACCAGCTGTTCAAGGCCTGTTAAAGAAATGGAATGCAGGGCAGTGATAACGTGTGCCACCCAAAGTCATACACTATGACTCGGCACTACAAAACGAGCCACATTTCTGCTGAGTCATAGGATGGGGCTAAACTTCAAGTTTCACTGCAACTGCCTCCCTGTTGATAACACCTTGGGCCTTTGCCTGTCCAGCTGCCACTATTAGATGGGCCCCACCCCGGAGCTGAAGTGCTACGCAGAGATGCAGAGCCATAAGTCCCGAGAGAAGTCCAGGCCAGCCGAGGTGGGGGAGAGTGCTGATTTTGCCAATAAAGGCCAAAGAAATGACCGGGAAGACCTGACCCCCCAAGCGAGGGCTCTACAGCTGGCTGTCTCACAGCACCGTTAGGTAGTATTACTTCTGAGGCAGTCTTACCCTTAAAGCAAAGACCACGTTGAAGAGAATCATGGTGGGCATTTCCCTCTTGGGAGAAGGATCTGTCTTTGACACCTGCACAGCAAAAGAAGACACTTAGGAAGTGTAAAAGCAAGTAGGTCCAGGAAGGGCGGTTGGATGCGGTGGTGCATAAAAGGTAGATCTGTTCTTGGTATATTGAGATCTGGGGAAAGAGTTCCCTCTCTTGGCCTCAGTGAGGCCATCTGGCCTGCAGGTCATGTTTTTAAGAAAATCAGGCATAAACTAGAGCATATCCAGGTTGAGACCAAAGTCAGGAAGTCTCAGAAAAAGTAGTTCTGCAAAGGGCAGGAGCTGAAGTCGTCCAATGGCTGAAGGAGGCTATGCAGAATACACACCAAACCTTGGATTAAACAAATAACAGAGCTGTGTGGCACTGAAATGGACTGTCTTGGGGAGGCAGCAGAGTGGTTTTATTTAGGCAGAGACTGGGGCGGGGGCTTAGGTGGGGGAATAATTCTCCAGCCATGGCGTTCCTCAATCAGTAGGGCACCACATGGCTTACAGACTCACACAGCACACCCCAAATGTGTCCGCCTTTCCAGTTTCCAAGGAATAAACACAGGTTAACGGGGGTGGGGGGTGGGGGCAGCTGTCTCCCAGGGTGCTGTGTCCACCTCCACCAGCAACTCTGGAACGAATGGCAGGGCAGCTCTTGTCTCTCCAGAAATATGTTCAAGGCAAGAGGAACCTCCACGGAGGTACAGTCCTGAGAACTTAGATCAGGAACGTGGGAAATAGTATTTCAAATTAGTCACCCCATTGACCTATGGGGAATCCAAATTTTCTAAACTGAAGGAAAAATGAATAACATGGCTAAGCAATAGGAACTGCTGCCTCTTGTAAGAATTACATGACACGATGGAGCAAAAAAGCCCCAAGTGGCCTGTCGGGAGGAAGGCCTCTGCAAAATGCCTGGTTAATGGGTTAACCCCATTTCCTGGATTCACACAGCACATTCAACAATGAACTAGCCAAATAGAATAAACCACAGAGAACCTATTAAAATACTTGCAATTGCATCTGCTAAATCTACTGATCGAGTTAAGCCCGCCGTGGTTAAGGATACAATTGCCATTCCCAGGGGAGATTCAAAAGTCAAGTAGCTGGTGCCGGTTAAAACTTGTCCCAATCAATAAATTTTTATACAGCGCATACTTCCAATATTGAATCTCATTTTACAACGGAAGGGGAAAATCTTCACAGGGAAGACTGGCCACAAAAAGAGCTGAAATGGACTCTTGCTAGTATCAACTTTATCGAGGAATATGGGAAGCAGAATTGGGTTTGAGACCCTAGCCACTGGATTCTGCAGGTTGTTCCAAGCTGAGAAAGGGGCAAGAGTAGAAATTTAGCAATATGAAAGGAGCCTCTAAGTTTCAGCTGTTGCAAAGGTGTCCTGGGTCTGCGACATACCTGGCCAAAGGCATGCTGCAACAGAGTTGGGTGCCCAACAAAACAAATGTTATCAATCTTCAGCTCAAACTTTTTGCCACACATGTCTGATTTAGTAGCCAGAATTGTTGCCAGAATGACATCCGAAAACCTTCAAAGCAGAAGAATAAGAGAAACAGGTATGACTGTATTTAGGGCGACCTAAAGACATCCCAAAGCCAGGTACCATTTGTATTCAACATTAAATATTATTCTGCAAGCATTCTAAATAAATAACACTAGGACCCATTTGAATGCCATTAATTTGTCCAAATTTTATATTTAGAATCATCAGAATTACTGAAAGGAAAGCATCACAGCCAACAATGAGACAGTCATGCCACTCTCAGACAGAAGTGAAGAGGTTAGAGAGGGTCGCCTCTGTTACAGGGCTAAGCAGAGTGGTTGCAGCAGCTGAAGCAGATTCCCAAGTACAGGCTGCTCCTGAGCCGGGTTATAAAGTCAAGGAATACCTGCTCAGAGCCTCAAAAATGTTTTCCTCCCCTATTCCCATCCTCTGTTTCCTACATAAGCTGCTATCATGTAACCTCTTGTCTCTGCATGATCTAAAGTTGTCCTGCTCTGTGGGGAAAGATGTAGCCTCTTTCAAAGTGCCGGTGCCCCAGAGGACCCAGCTGGAGGCCTGCAGGCTGGCCAGCATCACCTGCAACACCACGAGGCTGTCTGCAACTTATCTGAGCCTGGAAGGACTGGTGAGGATGGAAGTTCAGCCCTCTGGGCAGAAATACATCTTCTAGCTCTGAACTTGCTTCTATGTTTTCACATTCAGACTTTTAGTCTCAACTCCCTCTCCCGCCACTCCATTGCTGGTCAGGGACAGTTGCCATACAAAGGCTTCTCCGTGGTAGACTGCAGCGTTCTGCTATGAGGCCTGCGGCCAGGAGAGTTATGAGCTTATCAGCCCTCCCAGGAGGCGGCAGCGGCAGCAGAGGCAGAATAGTGGCTTTGCAATCTTTCCCACCAGAGACCTAGCAACTGAAGTTTGAATTCTTATTTAGATTAAGACCAAAAATAATTCTAAAAGATGTTCTCCTCAAGACAGAATGGAAATCCCAGTGGTTCTGTATTTGGAAAAAAACGGAATGAAAAAATCAAATTCTTGAAACTGTTCATATTCAGTCTGTGGAAATCTCTCCCTTTGCTCTTTTCTAGCAATGGAAAATTCCAAAATTTGGTTCTTAAAAAAGTGGACCTTCCTGATAAGTATCCTCATCTCCCTATCTTCTCATGATGGTTACACTCTGGCTAAGCATTTGATTTTAGCCAAGCAGCTGTGAGCCTTTCTTTGGAAGACCAGCTTCCCAGAGGCAATTTTGTGGAGCTCATTGGTTTGTTAAGGGCCTCTGGGATATTGCTCAAAAGTCCTGGTTTTGACAGCATTTGGAGACCCTTGTTTCAATAATGCTGCCACCTACCTCTGTGTTCAATAGAAGAACATATTTCTTACGCAAATAAATGTTCTGGGGTAAATAACAACCTTGTCTCACCTTTTAGCAGCTTCTACTTCCCCAATTAAAGAGAACTCCTATGAATCCTTCAGGAGTCCCTCCTCTCTCTGAAAGAAAGGGGTTGCAAAAGAGATTCAAAAGCTTTAGCTGCCCTTCTGACTCTGGTGCAGACCATTTTCTTCAGCTTTTCCTTTTAACCCACTTTTTCTGGCTGCAACTTAAGTGACGCTGAGTCTTAGGAAAAGATTTAGACCAGTACAGAACCACACAACTAGGACAAATCCATCGTGGATGGAGGCCTGACAAACAATTTTGTTTCCTGCCTAAGCAGGGGGTTGCACACAAGACTTCCAAGTCCCTTCCAACTCTGCTATTCTATTCCTATTCCTATTCTATTCTTATTCTATTGCAATCCTCCTCATTCTAGTGTTACACTGACTAGAAATTCTAAAGCCTGTAATATAAAATGGTTAAGGGAGAGCAGATTGGAAAAGAACATAATAGCTCGAATGTGGAGTGGCCTCAATATTCTATCATTCAAAGTATTATTACTCTACATCCTAAAAACTAGAGAGGAACCAGCTGTTAAATGCTGCATCCAAATGCCTTCACAGACAAAAATGACGCATTACTTATATGAGTTGATTGCAAAGTGCAGAATGGTGCACCAGTCTTAGCTTTGACCTCATACACTCCAATCAACTGAGTCAGCTTCTGGGTCCACCTAATCCAGCCTTGTCTCCACCGAGACTGACAGGCAACCAGAGAGGAAACCCAAAGCCGTTCTGCATGCAAAACACACACTCTGCCACAATGCTGCACTTCTCTTTCTAGACTGGCTCCTCCTTTACATTTCTTACAAGTTTATCCATCTCATCTGCACTCCACTATCGTTCCATTTGTTTACAGCATAGTCCAAGACAGAAATTAGAAATACAATACAAGAGGAAGATGGTAAAAAAGAAAAGCCATTGGAGACAGATGAATTTGGTCTTACCCTGACACCACCTGCTCATCAGTGAGAGGACAGGGCTCTCTGAAAATAGGAACAGGGGCCATAAGCACCACTCAGAAACAAAACTGGAGAATCAACCAGACAAAAATCACACAAGGCACACTATTCGCACACTTATAAAATGGGACAATGGAATCCTGCCAGTTTTCATGGTTACGAGTAAACGTTTCTAAAGTAAAATGAAAACAATGAAACTAATGTATACCACACCACCGCCACCCGCGTAAATGGATGGCATAAGTGGGAAGGAAGAAAAAGACTTGCAATGGCTGCTCATAGTGCAGCAGGTACCATGAGCTTCCCCCAAAGAGACAGCAGAATAAGCACTGGGCAGGCAGGACAGAGCTTGCAGGAATGTCTCAAGGCTGCTGGAATAAGAAAACTGGGCTCCAGGGACCACAGCAGGCCCTTCCTTCATGGCTGCTGTTACTGTGCAAACCATTCAGCTGCTTCCAGCCATTTTTTCCCCTATTCCTGAATTCTGCTACAGCAGAAGAAACCTGTACATTGTACTACATGAAAACCATTAAATTATAGCTGGCCACCTCTTCAACAATTCTGGACAATAGAGAAGGCAGTTCAGGACCAGAGTGGGCCCTGGAACTGTTGTTATAATCACAAACATACCCCAGATGCTTTGATTCATATCAGCTAGCTAAGAACCAAGAGGGGGATAGGTCCAGCTTCACGCAGTTTTGAAAATTCCCCAGCTTCAATTCCAGAGGCTGAATAATAAGCCAGGGAAAGTCAGTGTCTCTTGGCAAATGGGAATCCTGGAGCTTTTTCCCCACTTGTCAGACCTACCAGAGTTGCCTCCTCCCATTGCTAACACCAGAGGAGCAAAAAACTTAAAGATCATTCACCGGGATAATTGTGATCATTAAAGAGTACAAGAGTTGGATAGAATATTTTTATGTTTTCCTCAAAACCATGACATTCAAAAACCCCTTCACAAAAAGAATTGAGCTCAACTTTGCCAAACAACATGCCCGTGAGAAGGAGATCTGCAAAACAGAACCAAGGAAATACATACCTGGAATCTCCATCCGGATCTTCTACATTCTCACCAATACTGTTTACTGCATACTTACTCCTTGACGTCCCTAAAAAAGATGGAAGGGGGGGGGGCAGACTTCAAGCCTGGAGACATTATTTACTGTCCCATTCACACAGCACATTTTGCATGGTGATGGGGAGGCAGCATATTTTATGGGAATCCTATGATCTTCCTCAGACAACTAACCCAGAGGCATGCTTTGAATAATCTGTCTCAGTCAGCACGTCACTTGGATCAAGCCTACCAACTGCCCTTTCAAAACTGAGCTGAAATAGTAGGCCATGCAAAAATCAGACTCTGGAGGAACAGAACGAGCACAAAGGGTAGATGAGGAAGTCCTCCCCAACTCTCTTCGTGGTGTTACTGACTCCAGATAGACTGCCACACATATTTTTAAATTCCCTTTTCCTCACACTGTAAGGAAAATATTCCAGGGGAATAATAGTCTGCCAGTCTCCTTAGCAGCAGTGTCATATGGTGCCAGCAGATTTAACCAGAACACTTAGGTAGTACAGATACGTCACGATATACAAAAATGGACGCAGCAAGTCACCGGAACTGGCATGTAAAAGAACTGACTGGCCACGGACTGATCACGAACAGGGGCACGAGACCATGGTGAGGCCTTTGCTCCGGACTACCTACGCCTGCCCAGAAAGACCGCCAGGAAAACCTCCGATCCTGAAAGCCCTAAACAGGTGATGTCCCCAGGCGAACCTCTCACGGATGAAGCACTGAGTTCAACCGTGAAATCAACGGAAACCAGGGCCAAACGTGAACCGGGCCGCTTCCCTATCTTCGGTGAGGAGGCAGAGCTGCAGGCGACGCCCAGCACACCTGAACAGGTGGGAGGTCAACTGGGCCAGCTGCCCGGGAAAAGGCAACGCCAGGACACGAGATCTCCAGGGGGCCCCGGGGAGAACCGCCGGGTCATCCGAGCGCCCGGAGCACAGCGGGACCGCCCGGCGGCGAAAGGGCGAGGTCGCCGGGTCACCATAGCAACGGGGGCGGCCAGGCCTTCCGGGGCGGGGCGTCTGCCGCCCACCGCGCGCTCGCCAGTTCCTCACCGATCAGGGCGGCCGGGTTGCCGGGCCCCCGCTGGAAGGGGAAGCGGAAGAGCAGCTTGTTGCCTCGGCTGCCGGAGCTCACTAGGATCACGCTGACGGGGCTCGAGGTGTCCCCCATGCCGCTGCCGCTCTCGCCCGCGCAACCGCCTCACCACAGAGCCGGAGCCGAAAGGGTAGAGGGCCCATCGCCCTTTGACACCCGGGCGCGGCGGCTGCGCGGTCGTCACTTCCGTTTGTCTTCCGGTAGCGGGACGGCCTTCAATTTGCCGCTTAGGACCGGCGAAAGTCGGGGATGATGGGCGCGTCCCGAGAGCTCTCGCAGGCCGCTTCCATTCCCCGCCCCCCCGTGCTTGGCCGGGGCCTGGCTCACTAGCCGCGGAAGCTCACCTCACCAGCACGCCAGAAACGGGGGAGCCCCTGCGCCGGCATCCTTCCCGTCAGCAGGTGGCGCCTCGGCTAGGGAGTTGGGGCGGGCTCGGCGCCCCGCCTCGGCTTGGCAAGCGGACGATAAGGCCACAGGGGCTCCCTGGCTTTGGAGAGATACCGCCGCCCGCCCGCCCGCAATCGTGTCTCCAAGCGGGGGAGACGTGGCCTTCGGAACGGAGGGCAAGAAGGAGACCCCCCCACCCTGCGGCCCAGAAAGAAGAGCTGGGAGAATATGGGTTCTTTTCAAAAACGTTGACTTAACCCAACTGACAGGAAAAAAGATATATACATATTTTTAAAATACTACGTAACATTGAAAATAATAAAAGGTCTGGGAAAATTAATTGTAAACAGTTCCCAAATGTTGATCAAATTACTTAAAGGTCTAGCCCTTTTACTGGAAAAAAAAATCTATGACTATATTACCAATCAAGCGTATTACCTGTCATTCCAGTAGTGTATCATTTCATCTGTGAAAAGTCATCCAACCTTGCTTTACACATTTTTAAGTACGGGAACTGACAAACTACAGAGAGGAGTTCAATGTCATTAATAAATCTGATTTACCACTTGTTTTGGGAGTTTTGGAGCCCCATGGTTAATCAAGCAGTTTGGGTGGGTGGGGGGAGCACAGCAGTAAAATGAGAAAATAGCAAAAGGTATTCCCATGTTTCTGCCCAGAATTTCAGATTTTGCCTTTTTGTGCTAAAAGCAATAATGTTTGGCTAGGGCCTCTTTCTATGCCCTTGCTAACTGCATTTAAAAATATGCTCCTAAGTTAGAGGAGGCTACCAGCAGGGCAGTCCAAATTATCCCAACCAAAAGGTTTCTTGGAAGTTCAGAGTCACCCAGACTTATATTCCCACACACTTGACATCCTCTGAAGTATAGGAGGCTGAATGCAGCATTTTGTCTGGAACCCAAATTGTCTGGCTTCATTTATTTATTCAACAGACTGGGAACTCCCAGCATATTTTTATTTGTTTGCTTGCTTTGTTCCTAAGTGTCTTCACATCCCAATTCACATGGTGCTGCAGGGAGTCTTCTGCTGTTACAAACACACACACATACACACAATACTCAAGCAGAATCCAATGTTGGCATGACAAATTAACTCCCCATTAAATGTCTGGAGAAATGAGATAGCCTTTCTCAAGATGCAATCCTGCAAGGCGTGGAGGTTGTATGTCAGGCAACTGACTTGCCTGGCCACAATGTTGCTCCAGTCAACCAATGCAATTTTGTAGGCTGGGTCTTTGTGTCAGCCATGCCTGGTGGGAGACAAATTTCAGTGTTCCCTATTTTCAGGGAGACAGCTGGAAGGTCCTGTGGAGGATTCTTGCACCACAATCCCCAAAAGATAATCTCCTATGGATCAGGGAGAAGGACATCCATGAGGCAGCAGCTTGCCCTTTCCCCCTTTCTCCTAAGAGAAGCTCTGGTTCTTCAGCATGTCTTGGTAGCACTTTCTTCATTATATTTCTGGAAGGAAGAAAAAGTGGAAATACGGTGAGAGTCAGTTTGGTGTAGTTCAGGTGATGGCCTAGAAACCAGGAGACTGTGAGTCTATAGCTATTCTCAGAGCTGAAGAACTTCTTGGATGAGAAGCAAAATATCTTCAAAGAAAGAACAAAGGCCAGTTGCATCCTGAAAAAGCATCTTTGGGACAGGAGATTCTGAGTTCTAGACCTGACTTAGGCATGAAAACCAGTTACTGATTTTAGGCCAGTTGCTTGCACTCAGCCCAACCTACTTCATAGGATTGTTGGGAAAATAGGAGGATGGAGGAATATTAGGCATGTTTGCCACTTCAAGTCATTTATAAAGAATAAAGATGGGATAAAAATCTAAAATACAAAATATGCCCTAAAGCAAGAACTTAAAAACATTCAATATTCAACTTAGGCTGTAGGACATCAACAGGTGGGCTGCTTTTTCTCCAGGTCCTATTCCATAGATTTTGAGAGGACCCAGACTTTATTTTTTACCTGTCCAGGTAGGCTGAGAAAGAAAGGCCAAGGCCAAGTCACTGCCTAACCCAGATTAGGGTGTAAACTCTAAAAAACTTACTTTCATGCACATAGGAAGCCAGGACTCAAGCCAAACTGTTATTTAGCATATTGGCAGGGGGTTGTAAAGTCAGCCAGTTGTGGTTAAGTAATAGCTGTTAAGAAGCCAAGATTTAGCATATTGACTTTTACTTATTTACTTGTTTATTTACTTCCTCAATGGATTAGACCCCTTGGTACAGTACCTGATTGTGAAGCAGGACCACTTTGGGCAATCATAATATTGGTTGGTGAAGGGGAACAATATTCTGGATGCATGTATTCTGTTCACCTTGTTTCACTGTTCTTTTTTATTTTCTGAAGTGCCCAGTCAGGTGGAGTCACACATTCTTTAAATGTTTAGGGTCTCTGAGGGGAACCCAGTATGGTGGGCAGGGGCTTTTCTTCCATGCACAGCTGTGTCAGGATTGAGACTGAACTTCTGGGCTTCCCTCTAGGTCAGGAGCGCTTTTCCTTCGGCTTGGCTATTCCCATCCTAACTCGTGTCTTCAGAGTCCAGCGACACACGCACACGCACACACGCACACACACACGTCCATCTTTAGTCGCCCCACAAACGCCTGGGAATTTCATGATCGGGGCGCTCTCCGCCGGTCGGGCATTTTCCTGTGAATCGGTCGAGACTCTCGACGGAAAGGTCGAGGAGACCATCTGGGCGCGACAGTCCTCCAGAGGAGCCCCCCGTCTACCTTCCACCATTCCCTTGAGCGCGGCTCGAGAGCTGGTCTGAGAAGCCGCGGCGAAGCGTGTCCCGCCCCGCAGCGGGCAGCAGCGCTCCTGACCGCGACGGCGATAAGATAAGAGGGGCGGACCGAGGAGGGGGGCAGCTATAAAAGCGACGGTGGCGCCCCGGCTCCCAGTCTGCTTCTGCTTAGCGATCCACAGGCCTCCCTCGATCTCCTCCTGCTCTGCCGCAACCATGGTGCTGACCGCCGAGGACCGCAGGCTGCTTCAAGCCTCCATTAGCAAACTGGGCTGTCGCCTCGAGGACATTGGCGCCGATGCGCTGAACAGGTAGGCGAGCGAGCGGGGGCAGCCTTCCTTTCCCGCGACGGGCGCCGCTGCCCTCCATTTCCCTGCCACCAGGGTCCCCTAACGGACTCCTTCCTCTTCCTTTTCCCTGCCGCAGGTTGTTCATAGTCTTCCCGCAGAGCAAGACCTACTTCCCTCACTATAACTTGACTCCCGGCTCGAAGGACATCATCCACCAGGGAGAGAAAGTGGGCAAGGCGCTGGACAGCGCCCTGAAACACCTCGATGACATCCGCGGCACCCTCTCCCAGCTTAGCGACCTGCATGCCTATAACCTCCGCGTGGACCCGGTCAACTTCAAGGCAAGTCGGGGCAAAGTGACTGCAGGGTGGGAAGAGCAGCGCCTGTCCCACCCACCCAGCTAACTCCTGCTTTCCTCCTCCTCCCCCTCCTTCTTCCTGCAGCTGCTGTCCAAATGCTTCCAGGTGTCTCTGGCCACTCACCTGCGTACTGAGTACAGTGCCTTAGTCTGCCTGGCCTGGGACAAGCTCTTCGAACAGGTGTCTGACGTGCTGTGTGAAAAATACAGATGAGCTCCAGGGGCCACAACCAGGTGCCTTCCTTTGCCTTCCTCTGAGCTGCCTGCCTTTGGGGGTGCCTCACCTGGGCCACTGACCAATAAAGTTGTCTTTGAACCGCTGCCTGCCTGTTGCACTAGCTTTGGGGGCTGGAGGGAAGAGCAGGACCGTATGGCTATTGGGAAGGGACTCTGAGAGTGTGCCTGCCTTTGAGCTAGTGTTGATCCCTGGTGGCTGTCTGGGTTAGTCCTTGCAGTTTTCTTGGCAAGAATTGGGAAGTGGTTTGCCTCTGCCTTCTTCAGATGCCTGAGAGGAGTGACTGGTCCATGGTTATCCATACCATGGACTTCATTACTCCTGGTTTCTAACCTGGTGCCTTAACACTGTACCAAACTGCTTGCATATAATAAAGGAAAAGGGCACCTTCACCTATAATGGAGAACCCTGTCATTTATAGCTAAGAACAATTTGCCTCTGGGTGGAATCAGGCTTGTCTCCCCTCCCAGAAATCCTATCCCAGAGCAACCTAAGGAATAAGGAAACCAGGGTGTTTGCTGTGGCAGGAAGACCAGAAGTGGAGGAGAACTAGAAGCAGAGTTGGCAAACTTACTTCGCTATTTGGGCTAGATCACACAATAATTTCCCCACACACACACACACCTAATTTCAGCAGCACACTTTTGGGCACTTGGGAAATACAAGACTGGGAGCAGGGAAGACCATGGAGAGGCAAGCGGCCATTGCCAGGAATACATTCGGAGTAAAGATTCCTTTCCCAACACCTCCCAATCCTGGGGCGCCTTCCAGAGTCACAGCAAAAGTGGCTCTCCTCCACACTGCTGTTCCTGCCAGTGAGACACACACCACTAGGCAGGAAGACTTATTGTCCAGCTCAGGGCCCTCAGCCACAGATGAGCTAAGCCCAGCCCTTGGCTGAAGGAGGAACAGTGGACATGGTAGAGCCTGCCATCTGAGCAACAGGGAAGGCCCGGCCACGGGTTGCAAGTGGTGCACCAGGGTCACTGTGAACCAATGGCCAGGGTTTCCTTCTGGCAAGGTCGACCTGGAGGGAAAGGGGGTTCTCCCTCATTTCAGTCTACAGTCACCATCCCACATGCCCTAAGCTGGCCTTCTTCCTCTAAAATCCAACCTTCATGGGACGATTCCAGAGATGGCTTTATTTGCCTGGCAACTCTCTTGGGGCTGTGGAGGGAGGAGGAGCTCCTTCTCTCAGTGGGAAAGCAAGGAAACCCACTCAAGCAACCCCAGGCAATGGAAGCCCACCTTGATGGCAAGTTATGGGTCACAAAAGCTAAGCACACTGGGCTAAGAAAACCATGCCTCAGGTAACCATGGTACAAACCCTGCTGGGATTAGTCCCACTCCTGTGCATGCAAGCACATGTACGTGCACGCACACACACGCACACACACTACATGTGTATCTTTTCCTGGACTGAGGTGTCCTGGAGAATTTGGAAGAAAAAAGTACAACATGGAGAAAGAACAAGCACTTTTTTCAAGGATTCATTTCATTTCATTCTATTTATATTTTAATTCATGTATTTTTTCACTTTGTTTCCTCCCATATGAGCACAATCAGGTGGGGATCCACTCCCCAACTGCTTAATGTCAGTCAGGGCTTGTTCAAAGCTTCTGTCCTTGTGCATAAGCAGCTTCAATTTCCTCTCGAAGAATCAGGAAGAACTTCTCCCAGGCTAACTGGGCATCATCAGTAAACTGTTCTTTGAGGAGATCTTGGAAGACAGAGAGAATGGCCTGAAACAGGAACTAGGTAAAGGCAGAACTATGAGAGGACAGCCTGAGACAAGTGCTAGGGGACTCCCACCCACGTTCAAGATCACTCACCCTGGCAGCCTCCAAAAGGGAGCTACCATGCAAACAAGGGCACCCCCACCAGTCGCAGAAGCTCTCGTGGTCCACGGGGGTCCAGATCATGGACACCGCAGGCAGGCAGGCAATTATTGGCCAAAAATCTCCCCTCTGTGGAAGGGGTGGCCACCATGCAGTTACCTCAGCTGCCCCTTGGCAGACTATGGGTTTCCCTTCTTGTGTACCTGGAACATGCCTAGTGGGACCTGGTGTATGTTCTTGTGGCTTTCCACCAGCCGCCCAATGAGCTTGCAGGCTTGCTTCCAGTGATTCATGCTTTCAATCAGCTGGTTCAGGGTCACCATGATCCTCCGGCCATGGAAGCCCACCTCCGGGATCATCATCAGGTCCCCTTCAGTTGGAATGTTCTTGAAATACTGCTTACTCTCTGGGTATTCTGTGAAGAACCTGAGCAGAAGGAAAAGAGGCAGGCAAATTTTACTCAGCTGTTCTCTCTCCCTATGCTGTGCTTCTGGACTGAGCAGTTCTGCATTATATAGCAATAGCACTTACACTTACTGCTTCATAGTGCTTTACTAGCACTACTAGCGGTTTACAGAGTCGGCACATTGGCCCCAACAATCTGGGTCTGCATTTTACCAACCTCCGAAGGATGGAAGACTGAGTCAACCTTGAGCCAGTGAGAATCAATGTTGTTATTTCCCCAGGATGACCAAGCAAGGTTTCTTACCCCTGTCAACCAAAAGAATCCAGACGCCGGCATCTGTGGCTCACTGGCCTAATGCAGGTCTTGGTCAGGACTAGAGTGCTCAAAAGGCTGAGAAGAGGCAATGACCAGACTGTTACATGGCTGCAGACTCCCCTGCTGGTGCTCTGGTTCAGGCCTGATTGAAGACCTTAACCCCAGGACATAAAAGAGTATCAACCCACCCACCCTCCTGCCCACCCGCCCCGTTTATTTATTTATTTGGTTTGTTAATTGCTTACAAGATAATAGGTATAAGTAAAAACATAGTTATGAATACATGGATACATATAAGAAAAATAAAAAATAAAAGAATCAACAATAAACATCTGATTTGTGCAGTAAGTCACTCGGGGAGGCTGTGTTTATGGTCTCCAATGGAGCTCAGTGGCGCAGTGATTAGAGTGCAGTACTGCAGACTGCTTCTGCTGACAGCCAGCTGCCTGTAATTTGGCAGATCGAATCCCACCAGGCTCAAGGTTGACTCAGTCTTCCAATGATGACCCAGATTGTTGGGGACAATATGCTGACTCTGTAAACCACTTAGACAGGGCTATAAAGTGGTATATAAGTCCAGCTGTCTTTTTGGTAGCAGGAGAAATCATGTCACTTCTTCACCAGCAGTTGGAAGACAATGCCATGAATCTGGGAAGAGGCCCAGTCCCACTACTGGGCTGCCCAGAAGGCTGGGTCACTTGGTAGACTTTCCCTGAGCCCCAGACAGAGCTTCCAAGTGGGTGTCTCCCACAAAAGGGGACCCAGTTTTCTACCACCAGTACCTGATTATAACAATCCTGCCATTCTCTTCAGCATTGTCAAACACCTTTGCCCAAATATCTCGGATAAGTTGCTGGTCCACTTCTGTCAGACCATTCAGTGGATCTGAAGTGGGTGGTCTGGGAGGAAAAGAAGATGAGCTTAGGGGCACATTTCCCAAAAGACATTCCGACCCTGGTCCCACTGCTAGCCACTTCAGGGATTCCCCCCTCCACCTGCCAGGCAGCTGGCAGAAGCACCAGAGACCAATTTGGGGCAGCGGGCCACTCACCCCACCTCCAGTTTCCCGCTGGGACCCCCAAAGATGGCCATGGCTAGCACAAGGGAGCGCCCGTTAGGATCGGGAGTGGGCCGGGCGGGCGGTGTACGAGTTCGCGGAATCTTCCGGCGGCCGCATTCCTGGGCAGTTCGGGGGGAGGGGGCCGCTGGCCCGGAGAAATTCAGCGCCGCCCAGAATCACGCGGAGCTGCGAGCCACGCGAGGCCGAAGACAAAGGCCGGCAATGAATTTGGCCGGCGCAGAGGCGGCCTCTCCCCCCGCCAGCTGGCCGCCGGCCGAAGAAGCCGCGCTCTCCGGCCCCGCGCTCCGGCCACCGCTCCCCCCGGGCGCCTGAGGGTGGTGCCCGCCCCTGCCTCCTTCCCGGTCAAGCGCCGCCCGCAGCGCGTGCCCAACCGCCTTCCCTCCTGCCCCGCGGGTTCTCCCTGGCGCCACCGCCGGGCGGCCAGTCCGGGTCCGGAGCCTTGGTGCAGATGGCTGGCGCTTCGCTCGGGCGTTGCCCGCTGCTCTTCCTGCTCCTCGCCGCCGCTACCCCCTCCCCGCCGGAGAAGAAGGAGGTTGAGCTGGCCGAAGGCGCCGAGGGTGAGCTGCGCATCCCCCGCTGCCCCGCTGCCCGGCGCCGGCGGCGGATCGGGGAAAGCCGCGCCCGCTATCTTGACTCAGCCGGGCGCGCCGGGCGGCTTTTCTGAGTCGCCCCAGCCGCCTCTCCTCTGGCAAGCGGGCCGAGGGCGACGGGACAGCGGCTGCTCTTCTGCTGGGGGCCGAGGAGGGCAGGCTTTCCCTGGCAGGAAGCCCAGCAGCCCCCTTGGAGAAGGGCTGGAGAGCAGGTGACTCCAAAGGGCCTCCTCCTGGCAGGGCTTTGTGGCATCTGGACTGGGGCTTCTTCCTGGGCACCCAGTGCCCATGCACTCGGGGGCAGGGCTTGGCCTTCCTGGCTTCCGTTCCTGGGACAAGGCCGCTGGGCTTCAGGGTAGGCTGCAGGCAGGCAGCTCACTTCCTCCCTTCTCTCCTTCCTTCCTGATACCTGTGTCTAGATTTCCTTGCCTGGCACAGCTCTTCCAGGCAACGTGCAGGGCAGTAGGGGCAATTTCATGCCTTTATCAAAAAGTCCCAGTGTCCGGCCGTCCCCAGCCCTCACCATGTCCAGCCCTCAGGCAGTGGGAAGACCGAGTCCTCTTTCCCGGAAATGGGCTTGCTGCTCAAAGCCCAAGGCGGTGATGCCTGCAGGCTGGGGTGTACCTGCCTGGCTGTGCTTTGTGACTCCCTCCCAGGACTTTTGAAGGTCTCGTAATGGACGCGTAGACACTTCCTGCTCACTGGCTGCCTGTGTGAGTGATGGTTACTCCAAGGTCATTCCTGGGCCCGCCAGCCAGTTTCACTGCCCCAGAGCAGCTACTGAGTCTCAATGGAGACAATGGCATTTGTGGCCAGTCAAGCTGCAGGCCATCCATTATGTGCTTGACCAGTAGCCCAGCCCCTCCCCACCAGGACCTGTCTGCAGCTATGGCTGGGCACCTGAGGGTGGTTCTTCTTTTCTTCCCAGATCCGGCATTTCTTTCTGAGTATTTTTCCCAGAACTCACAGACGCTGTCCTTCTACAGTTGGTATGGAAGTGCCAAAATTTTCCGTTTCCGTATTCCAGAGGACACAGTGCTGTTGCGATGGCTCCTGCAGGCTTCCAGAGACAAAGGCCCTGAATGTGGCAAGACTCAGGTCACCTTGTGAGTTCCCCCTGCTGCTGCTGCTGCTGCTGCTGCTGCTGTGGCAGGGAGTACCAGCTCCAGAGGGCTCAGGGTCTCCGTCCTAAGGGCCTGAGAGAGTGATTGATCCCTTCTCTTGACCTGTGTCCTCCAGCCACATCCGCTATGGTGCCCCTCCAGTCATCAATCCCCTGGGCACACAGTTTCCTATGAACACAAGCGTCCCTCCTTCCTTCAGCCAGACTCTGACCTTGGATGCTGCCCTGCAGAATAGCACTTTTGTTAACCTCACTAACCCGGCTGCTGGGGACTGGTTTCTTGCTGCCCACCTGCCTGCAGCATCAAGCAAGATTGAGATGAAGGTGAGAACTGGGCTGAGAGGAGTGAGGGAAACAGCCTGTGGAAGTCCTGAGGCCAAATTTGCCATGATCCAAGATGTGCCCACCGTGTTAGACAGGAACTGGTAGAGCTGGAATTGAGCAGGGCAGTTTCCCTGATTGGCCTTTCTGCTTGCAGGGCTTCTCCAGGTCTTGCAGCTACACCTTCCAGCCTGACCTGTTTGTGCTGCGCCAGGTCGACGTTGTAGTCCTTGAGCCTGATGTTCCTGTGCAACAGGTTCTGTCCAAGGGGGCTAGTAGGCCACTTCATGCCAAGTGAGTAGCATGGGGTGGGGGGTAGGGTGCATCAGCTGGCCCCTTTAAAGCCAAGAAGCACCTGCTGATTTCCCCTGTCTGCATCGTAAATGTGTTGCAGGATCTTTGTCCCCGAATACACTGCTGGGATGCACTTTGAGCTGGGGAAATGCATGGAGAATGGCTCTGCTGCGGCTTGTGGCCTCCGGGTCACCTTGGGTTCGGCTGTACTCTCTTGGTCTTCCCAGAAGGTGCTTCACTGCCTGGAGGCCTGCAGCATCTTCTTGGCTTCCCCACCATGGGGAAGGTGGCTTTGGATCACAGTGGAGAGCCTTGGTGGTGCCAGCGCCAGTGTGTCCTTTCAGATGGTGGTGTTCTTCATAGGTGTGTGCCCCCTATCAGAACGCTTGGCATCGGGAATGATTTCTGGCCACTGTGGGTATCTGAGCAAAGGCTCTCTCCATTCCTGTTCAGACCTCTGCTGCTTCTTTTTTTCTCATCTGACCAAGAGAGTGGTGGTCCCTGCTTTGAGGAAGGGGAGGTCCTGTTTCCATCCAGAAGGGTCTTTTGCCCTCCCCATTCCTCCTACCCATTTATGTTGTGGTAGGTTGGTGCTGGCTTCTCTCCTTGCAGCATGCAAGCCAGGAGACGCGGCCTCCTTCCTTGGCTTCTACCAGAGCTTGAAGCAGAACCAGGGGATGGTGATGCCGGGAAGCCACCTCAACAGCACACTGCTTACCATGGGCAGCAGCCACAATGTCTCTGGCCCAGGAAACACCTGCCTACATGGCCAGCCGATTGTCCGCGAGGAGCTGGACGTGGTGTCTGTGCGCTTCCGCATTCTTGGAGATTCCACAGTAACCGTTCAGAGCGATATTCCCACTCTGCTGCTCCTTAACCTAAACTCAGGCATGGATAGTGGAGGGAACCTGGTGCTGAACCTGATGCTGAACCAGGTGAGAATGAACCCCTGCTGCATGGAGGGCCAAAGGTCGGTAGGTTTTGCCTGCTGCCAGAATTCAGAGCTGGGATCAATTTTGTCATGGCAGACTTCTGCGGGCCTTGGAAATGCCACTGTGTTGGCCTGCTTGAGCCCTATGTCTCCTGCACTTTCCCTGAATGGCTCCCGGGGCTGTTGGACAGGTAAGTGGCTGGCAGATCTGCTTGCCAACAGTTCAGACGACTGTATTTCCCCTTTCCTGGAGCACTTGTGGGTTGACTCCAAAAAGTCAATGGTTTTCAAATGACCAAACAGCAGTTGATTTGCTTGCTTCTTCCCCTCCCAACAGCCTTTGCTCAGGGCTACCTCCTGAACGTGAGCATGTCCTCCAGGGAAGCTGCAGTCATCGTCCCTTACCCACAGTCCGACAGCTGGTATCTGTCCCTGAAGCTGCTCTGCCCAAAGCAATCAGAGTGAGTATTGGATCTCCAGGTCGGGCCTGGCTCTCTGCAGCATAGGGAGAAAACTGCTGCTGGAGTGGCTTTGTGCTTCCACCCACTCCCCGCATTGTCCCTCTGTGGAGGTGGCCATTCCCAATAGGACTGAATCTGCTGCACCGTGGAATCTCCCTGGGTCCCTCTTCTTTCTCTCTCCCTCTTGTACAGAGGCTGTGATCAAGCTCAAGGCCAGGTAGCCATGCTTGCCTACCTCACCCCCTGCTTTGACGATTGTGGGACCTACGGACAGTGCAGCCTCATGAGGCGTCATGGCTATCTCTACACTGGCTGCATCTGCAAGGCTGGTAAGAGAGGTCCTAGCCAGCAGTCTCTTGCTCCTGTCCCCCAGGCTTCTCCTGGGGGATTTAGCTCCCAGGCTTCCCAGCCGGGCAGCACTGCCCCAAGTCCCCTCATGCAAGAAAGGAAAGCAAGCCCCACTAGGACCCACCTTCTGCATGGAGCTGCCCGCCTGCATGGATATCCCTGGGAATGGCTGTACTACTCCAAAAGTGCTTTGTAAATGAAGCCAAGTATATTGGCAGGCCAATGGCCGCATCACTTTAGAAGCACACAGGTGGACCCCCAAAAACAGGGACAAAGGTATAGTTGAGTTGGAGAACGTGCCTTTGGCAGTGCATTGCTTTTTGTAGCTAATGTCTTCCCTCCCTTTTCCTCTGGCAGGTTGGGCTGGCTGGGGCTGCACAGATGGAACCAAAGCCCAGTCTGTAGGCACCCAGATCCTGGCCACCCTCTTGCTCACTCTCAGCAACCTGTTCTTCCTGCCAGCAATCGCTGTGGCCCTTTACCACTATCACCTAGTTGAGGCCTCCGTCTATACCTTCACCATGTTCTTTTCCACAGTAAGTTTTCCATTTTTCTTTAGTCTAATGCATGCTGTAGAGCAGTTCAGTTCTTTGCAATGGAAAGTGGGCAAGTTGGCTTTCATTTCTTGCCCTGCCTGGGTGAATTAGGGTTTCTGGAGTTCTCTTGGTCCCACAGGACTTCTAAACCAGGAGGGATATAGGAGCCTTTCTGGGCCAAGCTCTTGAAGATGCAGACCTGCTGCAACAGCCTCCCTTCCTAGCACCACTTCCACTTCTTCCTTACTGTCATTACAGTTCTACCATGCTTGTGACCAGTCTGGCATTGCTGTAATGTGCATTATGGACTACGACACACTGCAGTTCTGTGACTTTCTGGGCTCTGTTGTCTCCATCTGGGTGACCATTCTGTGCATGGCACAGGTCAAGAAGATCCTGAAATATGTATGTATGGGGAGCCATAGGCAATCCCTAATGAAAAGTTGGGAAGAAATGGGGGAGGAAGCCAAATTATGGGCTGGAAGAGGTGAACTTTTCCCCTTGAGCCATTCTTGCCTGGTACTTCTTGGCTGCAGTGTAAGCAACCAGCACAAGTGGTAGTGGTGCCTGTTGGCTAGGAAGCTGGCCTTGCAATCTCGTTTGTGCTGGGCTTTTGTGTTCCAAGGCAAGCAAAGGAGAAGGGAGTGGGTGGATCCCTCATTGTCATCAGCAACATCCAAAGCAGCCCTGGATCTTCTTGTTTGGGCTTTTCTCCTTTGCTGTAGGTACTCTGCATGCTAGGGACTCTGGTCATCGCAATGTCACTACAGCTGGACCGCAGGGGTGTGTGGAACATGATGGGCCCTTGTGTCTTTGCCCTCACTGTCATGGCCAGCCTTTGGGTATGTCACTGCTCCTTCCTAAAGCTCCCTATGATCAGCAAATTTCTGAGCCCAGGTGACAGGAAGTCCGCTGCCATTTGCTCCTCAGGCATTTGCCTGCAATTTAACTGGGCCTGAGGGCGCTTTGTTCTTGCAAGGAATGCAAGGCATGTTAAGAGCAGGTTCTGCAACAGGCTGTTCTCTCCATGGAGTAGGCTGGCAAATCCCTTGGCTGTGCTGCTCCCAGTAAGTTGTCTTTCCTCCCAAAGGTCTATCGTGGAATCTCCCGGCGCCACTGCTACCCTCCCTCTTGGAAACGCTGGGTCTTTTTCCTCTTCCCCGGGACCAGCTTGGCACTCGTGGCCATAGCAGTGTACACCTTCATGGAAACCACTGAAAATTACTATTACACCCACAGCATCTGGCACATCCTGGTGGCAAGCAGTGTGGCCTTCCTCCTTCCTCCTGGAGATAAGCAGAAAGACCCATGGGCCTGGTCCCGTAAACTGCTGTGCCATTACCAAATCTGTAGGAATGACCAGGAGGAACTCTACACAGTAAGGTAGAGTTGGAAAAGGAGAGCTGATGCATCCACACTCCCTCCCAATGGAATCACTTAATTTGGCAGGAGGAACGTGAACCCTGTGAACATTCCTGCTGCTGTGCTGGAGGGAAATGAAGGCGGCCAGGCAGAACCTGGGCCTTTCTGAATTTTGGGAAATGTGGCTTCATCTTGTGGCAGCCTTGGAAATAATGAGCAACAAGGAAATAGGTGTTTCTGCAGCCCAGAAAATGGCTTAGGGTTGAGACAATTCAGGGGGACTGAAGGCAGAAGCATCCACGGTGGACGCATCACCAGCCAAGCCCCATTGCTTCTGTACTGCATCCACCACCCTGCCTCCACAGGCGAGACCATTGGCCCATGAAAATAGGCTCAGAAGGAGCTTTCTGCTCAGAAGAGTGTCACGCATCCTGGATTGGCTTGTTTGAACTCAGGTAATGAATAGCACTTTATTGGCACACCAAGACTCCTGGTATGTTCGTTTTTCAAACATAAACTCCCTTCCTGGGCGGGGGCAGGGCAGCAAATGTAGGAATCCATGGCCAAAGATGGCCCAGGACCAGGTCAAATTTTCTGTGCAGCAGAGGAGCTCATCCCTGAAGGCAGAAGAAGTCTCCCATTCTCAGGCACAGAGAGTAGCTGCTGATGCTGCGTTAACCTGCACCAAAGAGAGTCTTGATTCAGGGTTGATGTGGGATTACTGCAGTGAATGAAGAAAGTTCAACTTAGAAATGCAAACACGGATATATTATTGTCTCAGAAAAAACTTTAGCAACTGCAGTTCGCAATATCCTATTATTTATATTCCATCGAGCCACCTGGCATTTTAAAGCTTTTTTAAACGGAACAGCTGCCTTTAACTTTCACGTCTTTAATTAAAAAAATATTCAATTCAATTCAAAGTAATGCTTGCATTGGTTAAAAGGGGGGAGGGTTCTATGGAAGGGGTTCATCTGAGCAAGAGAAGCCGGGGGCGGGGCACATCGGTGTAACATCTTGCCGGGATGGGCAGGAAGCATTTCTGGCGGGCGAAGAGATCACGAACGCCTGCCCATCCCGGTTGGACGGCCTGCGGGACGAGAGCCAGCCAAGGCCCCAGGAAGTGGCGGAAAGCCCCAGTCGGAAAGGAGGCCGGCTGCCCTCCCCTTCCGGCTGGGCCGGGCCAACGAGACGCAGGCGGAAGCGGCGGGCGGCCGAGGCAGCAGCTTCCGCTCCGCGCGCGATGCCGCTGCACAAGGTGCCTCCGCGGCTGTGGGACTCGCTGCGCTTGCAGCGCGGCATCCTCGCCCGGCTGCCGCCCCACTACCTGCGGGCCTTGCGCGAGGACGCCGCCGCGCCGCCCCCCGCCGTCCACTGGAGGCCGCCCGCCGGCGAGTACGTGCGCCGCCCGGGGCCTCTGGAGGGCGTGCGGCAGCAGGTGGTGCCGGTGCCCGTCTACTTTCCTCCCGAGAGCCAGGAGGGGCTGTGGGGCGGCGAGGGCTACGTGGCGGGCTACCGCTACGCCCACGACGACAAGGTGGGTCCGCGGCCCTGCGCTTGGAGCAGGCCGGGGGCGCTTGCCCTTCTGCCGGGGGCGGGGGCTCCTGCGCGTCACCCCCCTGGCTCCATCTCCTTCCTTGGTGCCTTCAGCTCTCGAGGCGGTTGAAGAAGGTCTGGAAGCCGCAGGTTTTCAACCGCGAATTCTACAGCCAGATCCTGGACAGGAAGTTGAGAATTGCCGTCACCATGAGGACGCTGGAGCAGATAGACAGAGCTTTCGGCTTTGACTTCTATATCTTAAAGGTTTGCAGCTGGTTTTGGACCTGAGACTTTCCTTCCCAGGCCTGGTCAGTGCATGATGGCAATGACTTGAGACTGTGCAGGTTGTCCTTTGAGGCGATTGAGGTTGCCTACAGGACCACCTGTAACTCATAAGATAGACTGTGGCATTTCATCCCTTCCGTTTACAGACCCCGAAGTCTGAGTTGTGTTCCAAATTGGGCATGGACCTGAAGCGCACCTTGCTTTTGAGACTGGCACGCAAGGACCCTTCTCTCCACCCAGATGATCCAGCCAAGAGGGAAGCTGTTTATAACAAATACAAGGTGACTGTCCTTTGCAAGAGTGTCTAGGAAAGCCTACAAGAGGTTTCTTCCTTCCGGATGCGTTTTTTTCACCATCTGTTCATCTGATGCAAGAGAATAACGGAGAGGGAAGTGTTATCTTTGTAACTTTTGGCTACAGTCACATCTCTCTTGGAAAAGAGCTTTCGTTCCAATCGTCTGTTGTGTTGGCATATAGCTTTCCCTGCTAGAGATTTTCTCCTATGTTTACCCATATCTGCACTTTTTCCATTAATCATAGCTATCTGGCTTCTCAGTAAGTTTCTGTGCTGCAGTTTAACAAACTGAACTTTGCCTACAGGAGTTTGTCATTCCAGAAGAGGAGGCCGAATGGATTGGATTGAGTTTGGAGGAAGCTGTGGAGAAGCAGAGAGTCCTGGAGAAGAAGGTACGTGGCTTAGGCAGCTCACGGAGGGATTGTGCCAGTGAGGTTGGTGGGCCAGTCCTTGTAGTTCCATGGTTGTGCAACATCGGCTTAGAATATCTACCTACTCATAACTAAAACCAGTTGCATTTCTTTCCATCAATTCAGTATATTTTTTGGAACCTTGCTTTCAGGAGCCCCTCAGTCAGGCTGAGACCAGTTCTCATGCGGTGCTATTAGTTGAAATCAAGGGCAATTAAAAGACTGACCCTCTGTATCTGTATTTTCCTAGGACCCTGTTCCCTTGTTCAGAGTTTATGCAGAAGAACTGATCCTACACCTCCAAAAACAGCAGAAGTTTTAACAAGGAAGATTTAACTTGGGCTTTGAGAATTTTCTGCTCTCTTTGGTTTCTCATGCATGTCAAATACAGCAGGACTGAATACCAAGAAGCTTTCTAACGCCTAATTGGTGAATGAGAGGATGGATCGACACCAGTCTTTCTTGTGATTTGGCATTTGGGAGAGCCAGCCATCCTGAACTGCATGACCCCCCTTGTTCACTATGCTTATTACTCAATACCAATAAAGAAGGCTGTTCCATCTGCTGCCGACATTGTGTTTTTGTCTTCATCTGCTGAGACTTTGTACCTGCTTTGGCACCTTAGATTTTAGTTGGACACTGAGTGAAGGGGGTAATTGACACAATGCTCCCCCAGTAGCCATCTTTGTAAAAAGACTGGGGGTGGGACCAGTGGCTCCGTTGGACATGTCATTTTCCTGCTTTTTGGCCAGAGAAGCAAGTGTCTGCATTGTAGAACAAAATGAACAAAGTCGCTGGCCCTGAGCGTAAACAAATCACTCTCTTTTTTAATTTCTGTCTGTGCAAGAGACTTAAAACAGGGCAGCAAAAAGAAAATAATAGTTTCTATTACTGAAAGGTTACAGCTACACATTTATTAATGTAGCCACTAATCTACCAATGGAACAAAGGAATAATACAGAAATATGTTGATACAAAGAAGCAACTGGCTCACAAGCCACTCACAAGCTCGGTTCCCATCGACTGCCCTATGGCTGTGCACCCCTGGATCTCACTCCAGAATGTTGTGCAGCCATCCCACCCTTTCATCCAGGATCCAACCATGCCCCCCAACCCTGCTCCCAACCCTCTGACACAGCTGGAGGAAGCCCGGCGGCGATTGGAGGAGGAGGAAAAGAGAACCGGCAAGCCAGCTGCCAAGCAGAGGTAAGCAGGAAGGAGGGGAGGGCCCTCTCTGGTAGTGCTGGAGCTCTGGCTTGCCCCAGGAACCCCTCACTCTCCCGTGGGTCCCACTGAACTGCCGTTTGAGGGTAGAGCTTGCCAGGGAAAGGAGCTGGGCCAGGCCCACGTCAGTGCCGGGAACATCAGGAGTGTCCTGATCTTGGGATCTCCCCTAGGGGTTTGGAAGGCCAGGAAGCCAGAGGAGAAAGATGAGAGGTTGGGAAGAGGAACTGGTTAGTCCTCTCTGTGCCCATGGTGGGAAAGCCCCTCTTGGCTGGCAGAAGCAAGACAACATTTTGGTAGCCTAGAGAAGTTTCTAATCCCCTCTCTCATGCTTCTGAAGCTGGAGGGGCTTGGTTTCTGGTCAGGAAGGCCATGGAGATGGATTCCTGCTCAAAGAAAATAAAAGGCTTGTTCATTCCCAAGTGACACTAGTAGTAGTGCTTGGATCAGTTGTCAAGAGAGGTTTTCAACCAAAACTAGTCAATGTATCAGTAATAACGCAGTTGGAAGGGATTTTGAAGCTCCTCTAGCCCAAGACCCCCCCCCAAGACCCCCACACCCCTGCTCAAGCAGCAGACCCTGTACCATTCCAGACAAGTAGCTATCCAATATCTTCATAAACACCTCCAGTATTTAAGAAGAACACCCACAACTGATTCATGGTCCTCACTGTCAGAAAGTTTCTCCTTACTTCCAAGTTGGATCTCTCTTTAATGATCTTCTACCGATTACTTTTTGTTCTGCCCTCAGGGGCGTTGGAGAATAGATTGATCTCTTCTCTGCAGCAGACTCTTAAAACATTGGAAGTGTTGTCACGTCAGCCCTTATCCTTCTCTTCCTTAGTGTAGACATACCCAGTTCCTGCAACCCGAATGTTTACCCTTCAGCCCCCTAATACTCTCTGTTGCTCTTCTCTGCACTCTTTCTAGTGTCTCAACATCTTTTTTGTATCTTGGTGACTAAAATTGGATGGAGTATTCCAGGTGTGCAGCATGAAGCAACATCCGCATTTCTTGCGAGCTGCATTAGCAGCCTCCCGTGGATGCACCTTGGCTCTTGCAGCTGCGGCTGCCGCCGCCGCCGCCCATTGCTGGCTCGTGCTTCAGGGCTTGGCCACCAGCCGCCCCTTCCTTACCGCCGTTCAGCCAGGCCCTTCCTGAGGCGGCGGCCCACGGGGACAGCGCGCGGGGTTTTCCTTTCTTTGCTGCCGCCCGGCTACTGCGGGATCCTCCGGGCCGGTGGGGGCGCTGCCGGGCTGCCTATCGCCGCGGAAGGGCGGACGCGAGGACGAGGCGCGTCGGCCGAACTGCGCTGGGCCGGGCCGGGCAGGCGACGCTCCGGAGGCCATGGGGGGCCGGCGCCCCTTGCCTTCTTGCGCTGCTCCCGTCTCAGC